CACAAACACAAAAAAAAGTGGTTTGTGAAAGAAGGCAGAGTTATTATAGTTCACTAAAAATTAATCCATGAAAACATTTTTGTTGATTAGAATGTTAACTGAAATAAAATAATATATAAAAATAATTTTATTTCAGCTAGTTGCCAAATTTTTTTTATTTTTAGTTAGTTTAACTTGAATTAAAATTAATAAAAAACTATACAGACATATTAAAAAAGAACAGAAATGAACCTGATGCACTAAAATAAATCTAAAACTAATAAAATAACATATAAATTAATAAAAAATATTAAAATAAAAATATTGAATAATAAATAATAATAAAAATGTCAAAAACAGCAAAATTAGCAAAACTTTAACTAAAATTCAAATGAAAATATACAAATAAAAAGTAGTTTAAAATATTAATAAAACCTATAATAGTAACTAAATGATACTAAAATACTATTTGTGCACAGATAAAGACACATGATGCCACGACTGTCAGATATTTAAAGTGTTCTCTATATTTTGTGACTTTAGTCACTTTACACTTGGTTTAAAATGGTTTCAATGCATTTGAGCAACACATGCAGATTTCACCAGCACCACTAGATGGCCCTGTAGGGCCTTAAATGCTGTGATTGGCTGTGTTTGTCTGTGTTGTAAAGGGAATGTAACACTGACCACTGTCTGATGTGTTTGTGTGTAATATGCATGAATGAAACTGGCCAAATAAAGCTGCTCCACGACATTAGAAACAACATAAATTGGACATGTAGTACTGAGTAGTTCTCAGTCCTGTAGAACTGCACATTTTGGGGAAGATGCATTACACAAAATTCTTAAAAGGAATGCAAGATTCTGAGTGGGGATGTTTCTACATTTCACCTGACTGTTCTCTGTCTCATTAACTCATCAGATCTCCAAAGTCAGACCCACCAGGCTTAAAGGGATAGTTCACCCAATTTACTCACACTCAGGCCAGCCAAGATGTAGGTGACTCTTTTTCTTCAGTCTTCAGATTTTTAGCTGAAACCGTGCTCCTTGGTGATTCATAAAATGCAAGTCAGTGGCTACTGTCACTTTGAGAGTAAAAAAAAGCATACCAGGCAACACAAAATGAATAGCTGTGGCTCCTGATGATATATTGAGGTCTTATGAAGCGAAACGATTGGTCTGTGCAAGAAACCGAACATTATTACCTGTGATCCAGAGCCTCAGGCAAACGGTCCGGAGTGATGTCAGGTTCATGAACGAATCATTCTTTTGAACCGGTTCTTTTTGGTGAACTTGTTGAACTAGTTCACTAAATCAGACTGAAGCATCTGAAACAGTTCGTGGCTTGAGCAGCACAGATCTACAAGTTACTCAATCAAAACTCACTTTCAGACGCCTGCAGTCACTGCCACCTGAAATGAGCCAAAATAGCAGCGTTTCTGATCCTATTATGAATGAATCATTCAGCGCTTCAGTTCTTCCAACAGACACTGAACTGAGGAAACAGTTCGACTCGGACCGAAGACCGATGAGCCGCTGACATGGACATGCGTGAACCGAACACTTGAATGAAGGGGTGAAATGAACGTTCTTATGGTTTCTCATTGTTTATGTAAAAAGGTGAGCTGATGAATCTGGATTACAGGTAATAATGTTGTAAATAATGTTCAGTTTCTTGCACTGACTGATCATTTCGCTTCATAAGACCTCAATATATCATCAGGAGTCACAGGTATTAATTTTGTGTTCCTTGATATGCTTTTTTTTATTCTTATTCTGAAATACGAGCAGCTGCTGACTTGCATTTTATGAACCACCAAGGAGCACAGTTTCAGCTAAAAATCTTCTAAATTTTTCTACTGAAGAAAAAAAAAAGTCACCTACATCTTGGATGACCTAAGAGTGAGTAAACTAACAGCACATTTTTAATTTTGGTTGAACTATCCATTTAAACTCGGCCGGAGGATTCCCAGAAAGCCTCTGATGACAGACGTTTGGTGGCAAATGTGACCCAAAGGCCCCAGAACTGCATATAAAGCCCAGCGGGGCAGTGATGACAGACAATGGCCGGCCCTTGGGCCTCTTTAGTGTGACGGCGTGAACCAGCACACAATAATAATGGTCCTTTTGTTCTGCTATGTCAAATAATGGTGTCACCGACTCACAAACGTCACGGTGATTCTGCCATAACTCCTGTAAAACACAGAATGACGCTTCAAACTCCAGCACAATAGAGAGCGAGAGCTGTGGCGGAGCTCAGAGGACTGCTCTGCTGCTGTTCTGTGCTGCATTTACTTACATCATGCTTAAGTTTGAACCTAACATTCAAATGGAATACAACAAACTATTTAATAAAACTTGTGAACAGCTAAAAAATGAGTGGTTGCCAGGGTGTTGCTATGCAGTCGCTAGGATGCTCAGGGTGGTTGCCAGGGTGTTACTATGCATTTGCTAGGATGTTTTGGGTGGTTGCTAGGGTGTTGCTGTGCAGCTGCTGGGATGCACTGGGTGGTTGCAAGGGTGTTGCTGTGCAGTTTGCTAAGATGCTCTGGGTAGTTGCCATGGTGTTGTTATGTCATTGGTAGGTAAGATGTTCTGGGTAGTTATTCGGTTGCTAGGACATTATAAGTGGTTGCCAGGGTGTTAATGTGCAGTGGCCCTGGGTGCCGGCCAGGCCACCCAGAGCGTCCTAGCAAATGTGTCTCTGGCTGGTTGTCAGGGTATTATGCAGTTGCTAGGGTGTTCAGGGGGTTACCTGGGCATTGATATGCATTTGCCAGGATGCTCTGGGTGGTTTCCAGGGTGTTGCTATGTAGTGGCTCTGAGTGGATTCCAGGGTATTGCTATGCAGTTACTATGGTGTTCTTAGTGGTTGCCAGGGCGTTGCTATGCAGTTGCTAGGGTGTCCAGGTGGTTGCCTGGGCATTGATATGCATTTGCCAGGATGCTCTGGGTGGTTTCCAGGGTGTTGCTATGTAGTGGCTCTGAGTGGTTGCCAAGGTATTGCTATGCAGTTACTAGGGTGTTCTTAGTGGTTGCCAAGGTGTTCGGGGTGGTTGCCTGGATGTTTAAATGCATTTACTAAGATGCTCTGGGTGGTTGCCAGGGTTTTGTTATGCAGTGGTTCTGAATGGTTGCCAGCATATTGCTGTGCAGTTGCCAGGGTGTTGCTATGCAGTTGATAGGGTGTTTGGGATGGTTGCCTGGGCATTGATATGCATTTACTAGGACGCGATGGGTGGTTGCTAGGGTGCTGCTATGCAATGACTCTGAGTGGTTGCTCAGGTGTTCTTAGTGGTTGCCAGGGTGTTGTTATGCAGTCGCTAGGGTGCTGTTTTCTTGTCTGAAGTGCAGAAAGCCGAGCCTCAAGTTTCTGTGATATTCTGGTCTAAACTGGCAAAAAATAAATACAAATAATGGTGTCATATATGGGCTGAATTCTTGTTTGAAAAAAAAAGTAACTACCATATTAATAAAACCACTTGCTGACTAAAGTACTCAAGTCAGATATAAATATCTAGCAAAATATATGTGCGGTTGTGTAATATTCACAGTGTGAGTGTCATTTCCAGATAGTCATACATTGAAGCTACACCTTCCATCAGACGCTGAGGAGAAACTCGACACCGCGTGACCCAGCCCATCATTGTGGCTCAGCAATAATCCGCTCCATCCGAACACAGAGCATATATTATGGTCTGGCAAAAGTATCAATCATAAACCCGTCAGCATAACGACGAAATCTCAGAGGAAATCTGGAATGCTTCAGTTCAGATCCAGAATGATTCTTACAAGGGCTGTAACAAACAATTATTTTAACGATTGACTAATGTATAAATTATTTTTTACATTGAATCTATTTATTATTATTTTCTGATTGGTCAGTTAATCCTTACCAATAACCTTAGTTAACCAACCAATAAATAATAACCGTGACTTCTTCCATTAATCTATCAAAGTTTAATTTAAACATTCGCTCATGAAATACTTTAAATATAAAAAAAAAAAGACAAAGTGAAAAAATAAAGTGCCAACCATTAAAACGCATCTATCAGTAATACAAATGTTCGTGCTGCATTCACAGTTGCTAGGATGCTCTGGTTGGTTGCCTGGGTGTTGCTATGTATTTGCTAGGATGCTCTGGGTGGTTGCCTAGGTGTTGCTATGGATGCTCTGGGTGGCTGCCTGGGTGTTGCTATGCATTTGCTAGGATGCTCTGGGTGGTTGCCTAGGTGTTGCTATGGATGCTCTGGGTGGTTGCCAGGGTGTTGCTATGCATTTGCTAGGATGCTCTGGGTGGTTGGCAGGGTGTTGCTATGCAGTTGCTAGGATGCTCTGGGTGGGTGCCTGGGTATTGCTATGGATGCTTTGGGCGGTTAGCAGTGTTTAGTGATTTTATGTTGCTTTGCAGTTGCTAGGGTGTTTTGAATAGTTGTTTGTGTGTTTCAATTTGGTTGATTGGATGCTCTGGGTGGTTGCCAGGGTGTTGCTATGCATTTGCTAGGATGCTCTGGGTGGTTGCCTGGGTATTGCTATGGATGCTTTGGGTGTTGCTATGCATTTGCTAGGATGCACCGGGTGGTTGGCAGGGTGTTGCTATGCATTTGCTAGGATGCTCTGGGTGGTTGCCAGGGTGTTGCTATGAATGCTTTGGGTGGTTGCCAGGGTGTTGCTATGAATGCTCTGGGTGGTTGGCAGGGTGTTGCTATGCAGTTGCTAGGATGCACTGGGTGGTTGCCAGGGTGTTGCTATGGATCTTAACCCATTTGTTTTTATAATGTGACATATTTCCAGATAAAAATAGGATATCCAAGAAGAAAACTTTGGGTGGTTTAGGAATTACTTATACTATTTCTGCCGTATATTTATAGGACAGAAATAGTCTGGTTCTAGTATGCGATTCTGAATTCTGCCAGAGTCTCTGCAAGACAGGAGGTTGGAAGGGACATCAACTAAAAAGCAAGTAAACCAGCAAATCGGGTCAGGTTTGATTTTACATGGACGTCAACAGTGAATCCTACCGTTTTATTCCCAGAGAGAGCGTCTTACGTGAGCTTTTCACCAGACAAATGGCCTCCAGTCTGTAACCACTGAGCAGAACCGAGTTCACGCTGACTATCTCGTCACCGATCTGGAGTCGACCCCGCGCCGCTCGACTCCCGTCCTCCACCTAAACAACCAAACACAGAGAGTTTAAAACAAACATCAGCGCTGTCGGCCAGTACAAGAACATCTACATCTGCTTTACTGCACTGGCAGACATTATTGCACTGAAGGTTTAAAATAGCTGTTGAAGCCCTGATAACAGACCCTGCAATTAAACCACCAGTGACGAAGCAGCTCTTTTCCTGCTCATGTTTGACACGTCTAGGGTTATATATGGAATATTTTATTGCAGCTTCCATGTTGGGAGGGATGTGGTTTGCTTCTCTGCCGATTGCAGATCCGCTGGACGTTCTGCTCAGGAATGATACATAAACATCGTTTATTTCTTAAAAACAAACATATTCAACCTAAGCCACACAATAAACTTGCAAGTCACAGTCATGTTACTTGTTATAATTAAAATAAATTATTAAATAGTTAATAATAATAATAACATTATTATTATTATTAATAAATAAAATAAACAAAATAAATATTACATGTGTAATAATACTATTGCATGGTAAAGTAATCTAATATTGATTACAATTAATAATAATAATAATTTTATTTAAAGTACAACTATAAAATTACAATACTAACATGCATTGTTTATTTATTTTCAAGCAATAAACCATCAACCAACCATTTTAGTAAAAATTCACAAGAAAACATGTGAGTGTTAAACGTCGAGTGCTTGTGCAATAAGTGACACTTGATTTGATTCTTTGATTTCTAATGAAATTATGATAAGAAACTCAGTGTGACTTCTGTGTCCAAATAACTTTCAGCAACACTGTTTAACTTAAACGCCTGTTTTATGAACAAAATGATAAAAAGTGTTAATATTAAATTATAAAAAATGTAAAAAATATTATAAAAATATTTTAAGAATTAAATCTATTAGACATGCTTTTGTCTAATAAATGTATACTATAAATTATATATTTATTTATATATAATTTAAAATACTATATAAATGAATATATAATTATATAAATATAAAATATTTATATAACACATTTTAATTATTCACACTTTATTATTATTATTATTATTATTATTCATTTAATTTTAACCTAAACCATTTAAATCTAATCAAAAATAATAATAATTAAAATGGAAGTCAAGAGACAATAAAAAGTATTTGTTTCAGTCATGTTAAGTTTTATGAACAAAATAATAAAAACATCATGTTTTTACCAACAATTTATTAAATTAGTAAATTGTAAAAATTTTTAAAGAATTAAATTTATTAGACATTCTTTTTAATTATTATTATTTTTATTAGACTTTTATTTTATTATTATTTACCATTTTTATTACATTTAATTAAACAGTTTTAAACTAATCCAAAAATATTAAAATGCAATTTAAGAACAAATAAAATGGATTTTGTAGGGGCTTATTCTAGTCATGTTAAATGTCTGTAATATGACAAAATAATAAAAATAACTTATTTGTTACAATTTCATTAAATTGTAAGGATTGTTTTAAGAATTGCATTTATTAGACATGATTATTATTTTTCTTATTACATTTTTATTATATCATTATTATTTACTATTTTTATTACATTTAATTAAACAGTTTTAAACTAATCCAAAAATATTAAAATGCAATTTAAGAACAAATAAAATGGATTTTGTATGGGTCATATTTTTGTCTGTAATATGAACAAAACAATAAAAGCATCATGTGTTTATTAATTATTTTTTAATTATACATTTTTATTATAAATTATTTTATTATATAATTCACTTTATCAGAAACGTTGCAATATTGTATTATATTATTATTTACAATTTTTATTAGATTTAAATAAACAATTTTAACCTAATCCAAAAATATTAAAATAGAATTTGAGAAAAAATAAAATGGTTTTCGTAGGGTCCTGTTTTAGTCATGTTTAGACAAACGTCACCGCACGAGTCAGAAAGCCAGCTCACTGCTTATAGTTCAGAGAGCGATATATAAGATGAACACAAGAGACAAGGACAGTCTAACATCGATCCTACAGGACCCGGATGAAAACAGCAGCAGGGACTAACAAACAAAGAGCTCATCAAGACCACTGTAGTAAAACAAGCCTGAAAGTAGCAGAGGAACAGCTCCTATCAGATGCCTTCGGCTGAAACCCAAGCGCAGCCGTTAAATATTCAGCAGCTGGAAACATTAGATTAAACCCACAGCAGCTGATTTCAGATCAGTGTTGAATCATGTCCTCTGCGCTGTAGTACACACTCAGTAGTGCTCAGAAAAGTGAGCTCGGTGGTTTAAGTAATGCAGTGAACGACGGACTGATTCAGAAACACGGCGAACGCTTGGTTTAGAAGCTCGTGTGAAACTTTAGAGGATTTGGAGTTTTTGTGTGTTATATTTCACGTTAAAGAAAGGGTGAAGAATTACAGCAAAGGATTTTCATGCAGCTTAATCCACAGAATAAACGCTGTAATGCCACCGAGTGGCTGTTTTAAACAGTATTTGAACACTTGTGTGAAAGTCCTTCATTTGATCGAGTTCCTGTATTTGCGCTCAAATGCTGTGAACAAACAAGGGCTGAACAATTTGGAGGAAAAATCTAATAGTGATTTTTCTGATATAAATTGCATAAAATTTCAATTTGAAATGCATTTTTAAAGAGCTCTTGGTTTACTGTACTGTAGGGGTGCTCAATTTGTGATTATAAATAAATGAACAAATAAATAAATAAAAGTTTTATTTGATTGATTATTATTATTATTACTGTTATTATTTATTTATATTTTTATTAAATAAATTTTTTTTTAATAATTCCAATTAATTTAATTAAATAGGCTATAATACTGATAATAATTATTATTATTAAATAAAAAATGAACAAAGCAAATAAGAAATTATTTATAATAATTAATAGCATTTGCATTACATACAATTTGCCATTATTTATTAAATAGTATTTTTTTAAATAATTTTTAGTTTATTAAATAATAATATTATTATATTCTTAATACTTACAATTACTTATAATAATACTTAATAATAATAATAATAATATAAAACATAATAAACTAATACTATTTTCACTTTATACCACTGAACAGTAAAATAAAAAAATCAAGCATTTAATAGTATTTTATAAAAGTATTTAAAAACTTTTATTTAATTTTTTATTTAACTATATAATATAGTTATATAGTATATAACTATATTATAAAATAATATAAAATAAATTATATAAAAATAATAATAATATTATTATATAAAACGTACTAAATTACTAATATTTATGTCTTAATTTCTTCATTTTGAAATGCTAAAAACAAGCTATTTTTGGTGAAAATCCGCAGGAAGCCCTTAAAGAAAATGTGTGTGTCAGTGTTAAACGTCAAGTGTGTTTGTGCAATAAATGACCCCTGATTGGACACTTTGATTTCTAATGCAATGACGTTCAGACGTTCAGACAAGTGTGACTTTTATGTCCGTTATAGCTTTCAGCGACGCTGTATAATTGAAATGCCTGTGATAAAATGATAAAAACATTATGTATTTGTTAAAGTCAGCATGGAATGAAAATTCTGAATGCATATAATAGATCTTATAGTGAACAACTCATCTGTGCACGCTTCATTTAAAAGAAGAAGAACAGACTGGTTTTGGTAGTGTATCATGTGATGGGTTCATGGGATGCATGTAAGAGTTCAGAAAGATTTCCACAGTTTTACACCAAACTTTAACTCAACAACATGTACGACTCCAACAAGTTCTAACAAGCTGGTAACATTTTAGACCGAATAAATCCTGTATTTCAGAACACTAAAGCCCCTAACTAAAGTACTGTGGTGGTACCATAGTACAGTGACCGCATCAGACGCTTCAATAAAGAGGGTTTTCAAACTGGAGTCCAGGGAAAAAAAAAATTATTATTACAATTTTTTTTTTAATTCATAAATATGATGCGTTAATAGAAAAACACATAATAATAATAAAGATTAAAATAAAATTATATTTAAATGAATAACATTTTTTAAAATAAATACATGAATAATTAGATTAAAATGAAAGAATCATAAAAAAGTATTAAAATAGAAAATAGAATAGAATAGAATAAAATAGAATTATATTTAAATGAATATTTTTTTTTTAATAAATACATGAATAATTAGATTAAAATGAAAGAATCATAAAAAAGTATTAAAATAGAATAGAATAAAATAGAATTATATTTAAATGAATATTTTTTTTTTAATAAATACATGAATAATTAGATTAAAATGAAAGAATCATAAAAAAGTATTAAAATAGAATAGAATAAAATAGAATTATATTTAAATTAATAACATTTTTAAATAAATACATGAATAATTAGATTAAAATGAAAGAATCATAAACAAGTATAAAATAGAAAATATAAAATAGAATAAAATAGAATTATATTTAAATGAATAACATTTTTAAATAAATACATGAATAATTAGATTAAAATGAAAGAATCATTAAAAAGTATTAAAATAGAATAGAATAAAATAGAATTATATTTAAATTAATAACATTTTAAAATAAATACATGAATAATTAGATTAAAATGAAAGAATCATAAAAAGTATTAAAATAGAAAAGAATAAAATAGAATTATATTTAAATGAATAACATTTTTTAAAATAAATACATGAATAATTAGATTAAAATGAAAGAATCATAAAAAGTATTAAAATAGAAAATAGAATAGAATAGAATAAAATAGAATTATATTTAAATAAATAATAAAAATATTTTACAATAAATGAGTTGATTACCATAAATGAATCATAAAAATTAATGTTACAAAATATGAAATAACATAAAAATACAATAAACACTAAAAATAGAAATAAATAGATTTACAGTACAGTACTATAGTGAGCAGAAAATTTTTTAACTACAGATTTATGTAAAAAATATATCTTTGCCAAATAATATTTTATAGTATTCATTTTTCACAATATTAATTGGGTCTCTTTAAATGTCAGGATGGGGGTCTCTCGAATTAGGATGCTCATATTTGGGGGCCCTTGGCATCTAAAGTATTGAAAACCCCTGCTCGAGCATAAAAGAAGGAATGAGAGTGTGTGGTGAGCAGGGCTGGGGAAAGTTACTTTTAAAAGTAATGCATTACAATATTGTGTTACTCCATAAAAAAGTTACTAATTACGTTACTTAGTTACTTTTTATGGAACGTAATGCGCTACGTTACTTTCGCGTTACTTTTTAAATATGAGCAGGGCTTGATAGTTTTTAATACAAGAAGCTCTATTTATAGCAAATGTACTACACACATTTCACACCAAAAAGTGTAATGAATAAACCTCAGGCTGAAGCAAAAGTGCATTCTCGTCTGTACAGCAGAACACAGGACACTCTTCAGCAGTAAAAACATACAATGAAGCACAATTGTTAGTTTCTCTGAAGTCATTTGTGCTTATTAGTACGGTTGAACTGGATCAGCAAAGGTCAGCAGCAAAGACATCAGTTGATAAATAGTTATTTAACATATTTAATTATTGCAGGTTTGCGTCATATTCTGAGTTTGCATTCATTTGGATGAATACTGAATCCGTTTTTTGTGAGTGGGATGAATGAATGCACATTCACATTTAGTCACGAGAGCTGTCAGTCAGTAAATGGGAAAACAAAGTAACGGACAGGTATTTTCTTGCAAATTAAAAAGTAACGCGTTACTTGAAAAAAGTAATCTGATTAACTCGCAATGCGTTACCCCCAACACTGTATATAAATAATACTAGAACAGCACTGGTGCTGAATGAATACCTTGGTGATGAGCAGCGGCTCGTGCTGCTCCAGGCCTCCTCTGAGAGTGAAGCCCCACGGAGAGCCTCCGGTCAGACACAGCTCCACAGCCTGCACACCTGCGTGCTGCTCCTCGTGCTGCTCCTCGTGCTCTCCTCCTGGTCCAGCTTCACAGCTCACAAGCAACAGCTCGCGCAGCTCCATCATACAAACCCTCTGTCCAGCTCGAGCTGCTGTAGAAGAAGACGACACCTGCAGAAACTCAGCGTCTCGAGCTCAAACTGTTGGACACCATTCAACTCTGAGATCAGAGGAGCAGCGCCACCTGCTGACCATATCACCTTTATTTATTTATTTAAATCATGATGTAGAAATAATAATTACATGTCAGAATAACTGCACATATAAAGTTGCAAATGCATATAAAATATTTACAATTTATTGAATATATTTTATTTATTTGACCAAACAGAAATAAATAAATAATAAAAGTAGCACATATTTTTTTAAATATTGAATATATTTAATTAATTTATTTATTTAACCGAACATGCAACAATCAATCAATCAATTCAGGAAATAATATCAGAATAAAAACACACAAAACAGTGCAAATTCTTATAAAATATATATTTTTAAATATTGAATATATTTAATTGATTTATTTGACCAAACATGCAACATTCAATCAGTCTTTTCAGGAAATAAAATAACATCAGAATAAAATCGCATAAATGTTGCAAATTCATATAAATATTTTTTAAATATTAAATATATATATTAATTTGAGCAAACATGCAACGATCAATCAATCTATTCAATAAATAATATCAGAATAAAAATACAAAATGTTGCACATTCATATTAAATATTTTAAAGATATTGAATATATTTAATTTATTTATTTATTTAACCAAACATGCAACAACCAAGAAATAATATGAGAATAAAATCACATAAAACGTTGCAAATGCATATAAAATATTTTTAGAGTATTAAATATATTTAATTAATGAATTAATTTGAGCAAACATGCAACAATCAATCAATCTATTCAAGAAATAATATCAGAATAAAAACACACAAAACGTTGCAAATCCATATACATTTTTTAAAGATATTGAATGTATTAAATTTATTTATTTATTTAACCAAACATGATGCAACAATCAATTAATCAAGAAATAATATCAGAATAAAAACATAAAATGTTGCACATTCATATTAAATATTTTAAAGATATTGAATATATTTAATTTAATTATTTATTTGACCAAACGTGCAACAATCAATCAATCAATCGAATCATCCTCAAATAAATGTAAGAAATAATACCAGAATAAATACACAAATGAAATTATTTAATTTTTTATTAATTTTTAATATTTAATTAATTTATTTGACCAAACACACTATTAAAATTAACTAATTAATACACATAAAGTTGCAAATTCATTTAAAATAAAAACATTTATTGAATATTTATTTATTTATTTGGTTAAATAAAAACAATATTGCAACTAAAGGGTCATGACACTTCACCTAAAATACAAATGAACTGACTTTATTTGGAACCAACAGCTTGTTCTGTTAATCTCTGCCGTAAAAAAAATAATAATAATAAATGCATAAATGCATAAATAAACTTTCGAGAGACAATTCCCTCTCGACCAGCAGAGGTCAGTGTGAGGTCAGTTTTCTCAGTGTTCAGGGCTTCTGGGTTATTCTACATCAAAGAAATCAGCTTTGAATAAATGACAAGACAGCTCTTCTCAATTTTATGTTCAAATAAAAGAGCTAATTTATTCAAAATATAGATTGACGTCACAAAAGCCACCTAACAGTACAGTAAACACAGTTGTGCATAATACAAGACAACACACAGTACACAAACAACAAGATCGAGCATGATAGAAATAGAGTCATTACTCATTTTAAGAGTTCCTAAGAGTGAGGAAATTATTTCATAGCATGATTTAATGGAATTGAATTAAAATGCATAATTTCTGGTGTCCCGAATGTGAAATGATGAGAGGTAGAGGTTGTTCTGAAGTGCATGAACATTTGATCAGAAGTGTTTTGATTTGTAAAATCACAGAATATCCCAGGTTGTTCCTCATTTTTGGGAGTTTTCCTGCATTATTTAATCATCATTCTGCTTGTATTCAGCCTTCAGTCTTCATAAGTTGGCTTCTGCATCAAGCAATCATTCAGGCATTTTAAACTCAATCACCGAACCGTATGAATTCATAATACTGAGTGAATCTGCCATGAAGCCCAAGTATTCACTGTGTTACTCATTCATTCATTCGTTAGTCTTAATTGTGCTCTTTATACTTTGTAAAACATCCAGTGCTACAAAAACCTTTTTGAATGTTTAAAAATGTTTTTTTAAAGAAGTCTCTTCTGCTCAGAAGCCTGCATTTATTTGAGCAGAAATACAGCAAAAGCAGAAATATTGTGATATATTTTTACTATTTATAATAACTGTTTTCTATGTGAATATGTGTTAAAGTGTAATGTATTTCTGTGATGCGCAGCTGTATTTTCAGCATCATTCCTCCAGTCTTCAGCGTCACATGATCTTCAGAAATCAGTATAATATGCTGCTTTGAAGAAACATTTTTTATTATTAATATTAATATTTAAAACAGTTAAGTAACATTTTTTCAGGATTCTTTGATAAATAGAAAGATCCAAAGATCAGCGTTTATCTGAAATAAAAAGCTTTTATAACATTATACACTCTACCGTTCAAAAGCTTGGAGTCAGTTATATGAGAAATTATAGAAATTAACACTTTATTTTGCAAGGACGCTTTAAATTGATTAAATGTGATGATAAAGACATTTATAATGTTACAAAAGATTTCAGATAAATGCTGTTCTTCTGAACTTTCTATTCATCAAAGAAACCTGAAAACTCTACTCAGCTGTTTGTAACATTGATAATAATCAGAAATGTTTCTCGAGCAGCTAATCAGCATATTATACTGATTTCTGAAGATCATGTGACACTGAAGACTGGAGTAATGATGCTGAAAATACAGCTGCGCATCACAGAAATAAATTACAGTTTAACACATATTCACATAGAAAACAGCTATTATAAATAGAAAAACTATTTCAGAATTTTACTGCTTTTGCTGTATTTCTGCTCAAATAAATGCATGCTTGATGAGCAGAAGAGACTTCTTTAAAAAACATTAAAAATCTTACTGTTCAAAAACGTTTGTCTGCTAGTGTACATCTCACAATTATGAGGGAAAAACTCGCAATTGCGAGAAAAGATAAAAAGTCGCAATTACCTTATTTATTTTTATTCAGTGTCATAAACAGGATTTCATAAGAATCCGTGAGTTTATCGATTATTATTAGCTCCAGATGTGGACAGCACACGTACATCTCAGAGACGACTATTTGTAAAAGTTATGAGTATGCTTTCTTTTTCTATCTAAACACGACCTGAAACGACCCGAGGGACAAGAGCAAAGCAAACCAGTAAACTTAAACTGACCGGGTTTTTAATAGACTGCTGTGTAAAACTAGTTCCGAACACAAAATTTTGACTCGTCTTTTCTTTTTAAATGTGTAAATGACTCCACACCGCCTGTGACCTTTGACCTGCGGGGAGAAAGGCAAGTCAGTTCATCGGGATTCATGCTGATTTACAAACACCCAATATTCTGCAACTCAGAACGCTCAGATCTCAGTGCAGCAGCGGATACTCATATTTAACTCTCTAAAGCCTGACATAGAAAGTAATAAACTCAAAATTTTCTTTTTAAATGGAAGTTTATTGACTGATGGAGAATCGAGTAAAGCCGAGCTGCTTCAGTCCAGTAAGAGTTCATCTGGAAACATGACGTTTACTTGATCAAAACCAGTCAAGATGTGGCTCGTGAAGCTCGAGCTGAAGCTGGACGTGTGTACAATTACACTAAAAGAGCTTCGACTGGAAAAAACACTCTAAACTCTCAATCAGACGACAGAAGGCGTGGAATAGATGGTGTGCGACAGCAGCGTTTGATTGTTTAGAGGCCTTGGGAATTTGCTTTATATGCTTAAATAGATGCTATTTGAAAACTGTCACTATGTTTAACCGGTTTGATGCTACTGCTCATCTTGTTTTGTGTAGCGGGTGTGTCATGCATTGCTTTTTCACTCTCATATACCGTTCTCACATGTATGAAGTTGAACTTAAAGCTTGTTCGGTAGAGTTTCTCTATCAAGCTGCTGAAACTATTTATGTGTATGTGAATGACGTGCATGCCTCTGGATTGATTCCCAACTTGCCATTTGTGACCGTTACCACGGCAACCACTAGCCTCCCCTAGAGATATATATATACGTAGTGATGAATTCAGCTCTGATTTTGCGTTTTGCATGTACATTACGTACTGTACACCTGTAGCTCTTACTATGGTAAATATCTTTCCAGTACTGTATTGTTGGCGAAAAATATATTGAATGCCCTTTAGACAAAAATATATTCCGTACCTTGAAGTGAAGTACTTAAAATGAAGATTTTAACATTTCTGATTATTTTCAGATTTGTCTCGTCTATTTTAGAGGACATTTGATATGTGCCTGTGTTTGTATCCTCTCTATATTAACACTCCTGCATCTTTTTTTTTAGATCACATGCTATTGATGTTCTGCTGTTTCTGGCAACCTGGTGCTCGTCTTTCCTTTCACAGGCATTGTGATTTTGATGTCGTGTTAGAAAATATTTGACATTCACGTTTCCCTATAGAAATGACAGATATACGATTTTGATAATGACAATATGAGCATAGCCGTGACCCCATCATGAAGCCTTTTAAAGAAGGTAAAGCCCTGAAAGACCTCTCTCTGACAGAGAACAGATCGCTTTCAACTCGCTGCATCGATTCTACACCCACTGCTCACTTTCACTGGTGCCATTAAATATTCAGCATTTCCAAATGCGATTATCATAAATTGTGAGTTTTTGTTTAGTGAACTGCTCTCTTGGGTTGTTTTGATCCAGCTGTTGGGGTGTTTTGACCCAGCGGTTGGGCTGTTTTGACCCAGCGGTTGGGGTGTTTTGACCCAGCGGTTGGGCTGTTTTGACCCAGCGGTTGGGCTGTTTTGACCCAGCGGTTGGGCTGTTTTGACCCAGCGGTTGGGGTGTTTTGACCCAGCGGTTGGGCTGTTTTGACCCAGCGGACCCAGCGGCTGGATCAAAACAACCCAATAGCTGGGTTTGTCCCTTTTTAACCCAGCGCTGGGGTTATATTTAACCCATGTGCAAAATTAGTGTATAGTACTACAGCTGCATGATTAATCAAAATAAAACC